AGCCTCTCGCAAAGCGGCCGTCCATGACCGTGCCCCACCCCGCGAGTGAGGCGTCTGTTGAAATAATTGTCCGGCGACATGACGCTCCCACCACGGGACCCTGGGACAGGAACCAAGGCTTCCTCCATACTGACAGGGAACGAAGGCACCTGCTCGTAACCCGTATCATACGGAACGGTTTTCCCCTCGGGGAGAATCCCTTGGATTTTAACCACCACTGCAGGGCTCTCATGTGCAGCAGGCCAGACGGGATTATGCTGGATGCTGCCGCCATGAGACCCAACACCCTCTGAAAGTGTTTCACAGTGATGGTGCGGCCTAGCTTCACTCTGGTCACCGAGGACAAAATGGACCTGACGCGTGCAGGCGACAGGTGGGCCCGCATCGTCGTCGAGTCCCACACCACCCCTAGGAAGGCAGTCCGTTCTTCGCGTTGAGCCACAGCCCCAGACGCTGGAGGTGGGCATCCAGCCGTCTTCGGAAAATAGAGCCGCACAGGACCCCAGCCCCCTCGAGAGCTGACAGGAAACACACAGGGCATGAGTGTCCCCAGCCGTGATGTAGCGTGGGCATGGAAAGACACACTGCCTGAACTGCTCACCAGCCATCTCCTCTGCTTCTCAAACATGCCAGAGTGCCTGCTGAATAGAAAAAAGCTAATGTGTCCGGTGTGCCGGCGTGCTTATACACACCTCCAGTTACGCCGTCACACGCTACCGTTCTAGCAACGGCAATAGGATTGGAGTAGTTTCATTCATGATTTCAGCCCTGCCACGCCCAGAGGCGTTCCCATAGTGTCGTCACTGACGCAGTTCGAGTTCCCTTGAAGGGGAACTACACAAGTTGTTAAATGTGATCTCATTTTGCTGGAAAGAACATTATAAAAGTATACATTTATAGTTGTTATATCACCTTTTTTGATCATTTATTCGTCCAGTCATTTATCAAGCAAATCATTCTTGGTTCTAGCTTCTCAAATGTGATAATTTGATGCTTTTTGCTGTTTATATTACTTTAAATTAAGCATCTGATTATATAATTGGCACGTGAGTCAAGAGTAAAGCCCTAATCTGAAAGTGGGGTTAATTGTTTCAGTGAAGCTTCAGCACACATTTCATACACACATTAAAGGCATGCTTTAAAAGTTGTCTTGTTATTACAATGAGCACTCTCTCTTTTAGAACCTGTCACAAAAAAAAATCACAAACTCTACGTTTTTCTGAAAGGTAAAATCGTGCTATGACCTCTGAGGCATGATTTTCTTCTAATAGAAGCATTCAGTTCACTAAACCTTCAGGTATTCAATAGCCAGCATCACATATCTAGCTTAAAATTTGAATAATGACTGATGACCCTTCTCATTTGTCTGGCTCTATGGGTATCAAGTTTAGCAGAACACTTAAATATGTCTTAATCCTTCATATAAAAAAAACGGGGGGGGGTTCTTGCAAAACAAAACACCACCTCTTTGATGGATGACGTGATCTGGGGGACAATGATGCATTGAGCCAATATAAAAATCCAGTTGCTTTAGCCTAATTATGGGGGTTTGAGTCATGAGAATAAGAAAGTCGTGGTCAGGTTGCCAGGGGCCAAGACGTGAAAGGAAAAAATGTCAGTTGGTGATTTAAAAAACAAAACAAACCTCCTCTTCTTTCTGTCACAAAGTGTCGAGGTGTAAGTGTGTCTGACTGTGTGTGTATTGAGGAAAAAAAAGGGGAAAAGCATTTGTGGAAGAGCGCAAAAAGATGTCCTTTAAGTTGGCAATCCCCAGAGTTTCTTATCAAAGTGGTACACAGGCAGCACACATGCTGGACGAATGATAGGCAAATGCTCCAATCCACCCAGTCATCCATTATAGGTGCTGTCATGCTCTGGAAATAGGAGCTACATGGTTGGTAGAGACTTCCATTTAATTTATTGACCTCAAGAGGAGGAGAAACCTGTCGTCTCAGAGGATTCTCTCCAGCTACAGAGGAAATGGTTGATTCAGTTTAATTCCAAGACTTAACCTACTGTATGGAGTGCTCATTCAAAGTCATCAACCTCATCCTTTTTTATGCCTGCACTGCACCGAGAGCCCATCACTCTGTGTATGACTAACTGAGGAAAAGGCTTTCTTATCTTTTGAAAGGCCACAATGCCTTTCTCTTGGAATATGATCTTTATCGGGGAGCTTTCATTGGGTTTTCTCTCTGAAACACATTGTATACACTTCTTACAGTTGGGATTTTTTTTTCTTTATTTGGGTTATGGAGAATAGTTTTGAATGTTTTAAAAAGAGTCAATATAAAAAAAATCTGGGACATGGAGTCTGAAGTATTTAATCAAAATAGTGTTCGTCTGAGCGCTGCCACAGTCGGAAAAGTATAAAATCAATCGTGTGAAGGATTTAGACGGCTTTTCCTGGCAGGCTGACTACAGCAGCTGCCATAAGGCTCATTATGAGTTTCTAAGAAGTGCTGGGAGACATTAACTCCTAGGTAAAATGCACTACAATAACACCTAATTAAATATAAGGTTTGAATACCTATTTTAAATTTCAGAGCGCTTTCACCGTCCTCTAAACAGACTTAACTTATTCTTAAGTGAGTGAAATGAAAAGTTCATTACACAATAGGGTAGGGGTCTCTGAGCCAACTTATGATTAATTAAAAATGGCAAATGGATATTATCTCGCTGCCAGGCTCAACCTTTCTACAGGAATTTGAGCACAGGGGAGCATTTTTGGAGCCAGACACTTGGTAATTGCTTCAGTCTCATGCAGTCTCTCCTCTCAGAGAGCACTGTCTGCTGGAGGATTTCTCTCAAAAAAAAGGGGAAGGGGGGGATGTAGGCAGGGAAGTTGAAGAGAGTGTATTTTGTGTAATAATTTCTGGTGATAGTAACAGCTTTCTGCTGATCCAGAACCAACTGGAGGATTACATAATAAAGGCTAGTTTGATAATGTGGAGTACTTTTTAGATTTTTTAAAACCTTCAACCAACTAAAACCTGTCAGCAGCTCTGTGCAAACGAGCAAAACAAAGGTTTTGTCTGGACTACAAGTAAATTGGAATTGTTTCTCGAATCAAATCTTTCTCATTTGCAAGTGATCATATTGAATTTGTGTGTCCCATCACCAACTTATCTGAATGGGTTACTGCGGTAATGACTTAGGCGTCAGTAACCACATATGGTGGTGAGGCGGCTATCCAACACGCAAGCATGAGAAAAGGCGATCCATCCAAATAATCATGCTGCCCTCCTCTATTGCACCAGACAAACTTAGCGACAGAGTAGTTCTGCAACAGGATTCTGTTCAGCCACTCTGATGCACTTCCGTAACTCTGGATTTAATGTTGTTTGCTGTGATGCAAAAGACACTTTGAAATCTGATTTTATCCAGAGTCTCCAAATGTAGCTTGAATCAGATTAGCAAAAATTTCATTTGATGTTTTCTGCTGTCAAGACTTTCTAAAATCAATGTGGATACAATTGGATATACCAAACAAACGTATTTGGTCTTGTAATCTGAACAAGGCCAAAGAGACAGACAACATTGTTTTTCATGAAAATTGTATAGTGGCAATATATTGTGGCCTCCCAGTCGTTTTGCTCTTTTCTCGCTTTCTTACAGCAGGCGCAATTTCTGTTGAACTACAAGCCTCTGCATCTTCTGGCAGCTAAAACGTGAATACTCACACTAAAAATAATAATAATAACTCACTCTAAACCACCTATTTCGCTCTTCAAACATGTTGTAAATAGGACTAAAAGCATTTTTTCCCTAATATCACTGTCAACATATCTTTTTTTTGGGTAGAAATGTATCTCATATCATATAAAATATATTAGGACAACAAACAAACATTGTTTTTTTTCCCACCTGTTTCACAGATGATAAGAACTTTAGGGAACTTGTGAAGATTATCCAGGCAAATCCTTATTTTGACGTGTTATTAAGTCATAAACACAGGAAAGAAAACTAATTAGATCAGACTTAGTCAGACTAAATGGATCACCAAAATAGTTTTTTCTTACTTGCCTATTAGGGCTTCCATATTACTGTATGGAACTCAACACAGGTAACACCAGCCCCTGTTTCTACACCTCAAGGATACAGACAACACTTTTTGTGAGTAATAACCATGTTGAATGTATTTCCTGTATTTCAAAAAATTTGAAAAGCACTTTTTTTCAACATTTTGGCACCTGCTTTGCTTACATCCGTATTTACTTGCTAGCAGTGTTCTTCTTTACTGCCTTTTGTTGGCACATTGAAGTGTTTCTTGGGTCATTACCGCCACTTGCTGATCAGTTAAATGATGTAAACCACTGGCATTGGTTCCACAAACAGACATCCGTCAAGGAAGAGGCAGAAGGCCCAATTTCTCCATTGATAACAGCCTTGATAGTAAATTCAGCCTCTATCTCATATTCTGAGCAAAGGTTGATTTAACTTCAGCCAAGGTCTGTGACATCTTTAATATAGTACATTATTAATAATCAACATTATCAACATGATATTTTTGAATGTGTTGAACGTCTCTTCTTGCTTTGGACTACAGGGGGTAGAGAAATAACAGTTTTGACAAATCAAATCAAACCCGTATGGTGACTGTATCTACCTGTGACACGGTTTCAGAGATTGACAACAAATACAACCGTGACTGACAGTGTAGTGGCAGTGCAGACAATCAAAATGTTGATATTGGAATCCAGCACAGTGGAAATAACACAAGATGAAAGATGGAAATACCCCAGGCGATTCTCTCTCTATCTCATGGGACTTGGGACAACTATGGTTCTTTTTCTCCTTTCTCCTGAGCTGAATGTATCAAGTTCAGGTTCAGGAGTGTTCAAAAGTCATGAGTTCTCAAAATGCAGTTTTTTGAAATGTAAGAAATCATAAATCAACATAGAAGTAGGGATAAACTTTACATTCCCCAAATAGCAAACACTGGTAACACTTTAACTGTGTAAAGAAAGCCTCTAACGATAGTCTTGTCTCTCTTTCAGAATGACTGGACAGAAGCACTTGACACGGGTGGCTGTGATGGCACTTCTGGTGCTAACGGTGATGGCAGCTGAAGGAGGCAAAGCAGAGAAACAAGGTGAATCTTGTAAAGCGAAGGACTGATTCTTCAATTATGGAAACATCTACAGAACAAATCTACAAAAGGTTCAGATTTCCTTTGTAGCGTAGTTTGAAATTAAACGGGAGCACTGTGATGTTCTGTATGAAATCCATTTTAAATGATTACATTGTTAAATACATTTCCTTTAACAAAGAAAAACATAAAATGTAACTGATGCTTCACTGGTGTCAAATTATGACTTGGCATTTCACAGCTTGTTTGATGATAGACGGAGAAGCATGTCTGTCTGTTAACCGCACCAATATTAAAAGGACTGCTCCTGGAGTGGCATACAGTGCTCATCACCCCACAGAAGTCTGCACTGTGAGAAATGTTCCTCTTTACAACCTATTCTGCTGGACACAACAAAAAATAGCCTTTGGGGTTGAAGTAATTTGTCTCCTTTGAGAATTTACCATATCTTACAAGAAGTAAGTCAGACACCTCTTGGGTAACTTGGGCAAAGGACAACAACATTTAGCCTAATTTAAATTCAAGAAAAAAATGTCTGCAGTTCTGGTTATACAAAACATATTAGAATCTTGGTTATTAAACAGAAACTGCAAAGTGCTACTTGCAGTGTTTATAAAAGTATTTAGCCCCTCCTGGGCTTTTTCAGATTATTTCAAGGCAGTTGTAATGGGTTTAGGTGCTTGTGCTAATTTCCAATGCAAATGAACTTTTTTTCTTGAATTTAAATTAGGCTAAATGTTGTTTTCTTTACCCAAGTGGGAGTTATCTGACAAATTTTGCCTTTCTTGCAAGATATTGCTGTTTGTTTCTGGTAAATTCTCAAAGGAGACAAATTACTACAACCCCAACGGCTACTATTTTCATTTCATATATTTTTAAGAGTTGTGTCCAACTGAATAAGTTGTTAAGAGGGACATTTTCACAGTGCAGCCTTTTGGAAGGTGATAGCACTGCGTGTAACTCCTCTTGGGAAAAGTCGTTTTTATGTTGATGAGGTTAATTGACAGACATTGCTTCTCCATCATTAAACAAGTAATGTAAGTAATAAAGTCATATTTTGATACCAGTGAAACATCAGCTCCATTGCATACACTTTCTTTGCTACTTAGATAGATAGATATTTCTCTTTGTTGAATTAAATATTTTTAACAAGTAAACTCATCAACTCAAGACATATAAATCTGAACTTGAGACCTGACTGCAGTGAGACTGGACCTAAAACTTGATCCCTTACATGACTTCCCCCTGAATGCAAAAACCTTAAAGTCTGAAGATGGCTGCTAAAATCCATGGGAAACTAAATATAAGACAATGTCTGGCAAACTTTGCAAGGCCACACATGGACTTGAATATGTGTCTATATTTTAAATAATTGATTATTAGGCCTTAACTTGAAAGAACTTCTCAGCTATGTCAAAACTAACTATTACACTGGTTTTAAAGAAAAATGTTATGGGCATGTCATTTTAATGGGTAGCACTCAGAGATCTATGGACTTGCATGTGGACTTGCTTATGAAGACTTGCTTATGTGACTGTATTGTGCACTCAAAAACCTTACACATGTATTGAGCCTTTGCTTTGACAAGAGTTGTCACTTTGAACACTGCACTACGTCCACTAGTTTCAATTGACTGGAGACTTGACTTGACCTTGCCCCAAAACAACTCTGTATCAAACTTCATCTGGCTTCATCTAATGTTAGAAGGTTACAGAACTGGTGCATATGTGGTCCTTCAGGAAAGAAGGAGCGCAAGTCGGACTGTGGGGAGTGGCAGTGGAGTGTGTGTGTAGCCAATGAAGGGGACTGTGGACTTGGTACCAGGGAGGGAACGCGTACTGGCACTGACTGCAAGCAGACCATCAAAACCCAGCGCTGCAAGATCCCCTGCAACTGGAAGAAGAAGTTTGGAGGTAAGGGAAGACTTTTTAGACTGGGAGGGAATATGGAAATAGGTGCTATGTGGGCTGGAAGAAAAAGTCTACTTTAAATAGTATTTAAATAATCTAAGACCCAGAAAACTTCCCTCCTTCAGTACATGGCTCCCATCCCTCTCACCCCACACCTTCCCCACCTTGTGTGCTGTCATTCACACAAACAATGGTTCCATTTTCACAATAAGAATGAGTAAGCTAGCTAATTAGAGGTACAACAGAAATGTCTGCTGAGGACGTGATACGTCGTCATGGAAAACACAGGAAAAATCATCCTGCTTTGTCATTTGCTTTTTGGGCTTGAGACTGTACAGCCTTCACAGCTGAAATGTCTTACAGTGACAAGCCTGAGGGACTTTTGTTCCCCCAGTAAGGCCTGTCAGGCAGGAGCCCGCTGCTCTGCAATGAGCCTGTCAGAAGTGATGAACACACTGCAGGAAATAATGGTCCCGCTAAATAGCTATATAGATTATGGTAGCAAAAGTTTTTGGAGAAGTGGCAATAAGTTACATGCCTCTGGCCTTTTAAATTGTGAAAAGTTACTTGAGAAAAGAAAAGAAAAAGGCTAGCCCATCTTGTGTTGTAGAAGCTGAAATTCCTTGCAATCTGATCCACTGACCTTTCTTTATTTTGGATATTTTTGCAATTAAAAAGATAAATAAATACTGTAACATTTGGTGCCTATGCCCCACAAAATGTGTCAGAATTGGTGTGAAAAGACCCTGCAATTTAACTCTTGCAGTTAAACCTGGATTCAGATATGGTGCTGCTAAATAAAAGTTCTGCCACTGATGTAAAGACTATTTTGCTAGTAGACTACTATGCCAAGTACTGGTACGCAGCATAGCATTAAGGAACAACACATGACTTTAGGTACTATTACAAGAAAAGAAGCGTAAACTTGGAATTATGAGAGTCGTTCCAGACTATTTTCAAAACTGTTACATGTGATTACAATATTAAACTCCAAGAGATCCTTAAAAACAAACAAGTGAAAACTAGGTTAACAGTGTTTTAAGTTTGCAGCACATGGCCCAAATTGTCTTTTGCAACTCACAGGAATATGAGAGCACAATGCAGGGAGAATATAATAGTTGTGCTTAAAATAGGAGTGTGTGTGCATAACACTGTAAAGCCAGGTTTGTCGGCTGCTTGACCCCAAAAAAGAGGACAACTGTTTGGGACAGGTGACATGGGTAACCAACACTACAGCTAGTGGGTTTCTATACACTAGACCATAGACATATTCGTACAGCGAATGCACAGACGCAAAGCCCAAAACAGAAGTGATGTTGAAAATGAATAACCTAATAACATATAATACAATAAATACTAATAAATTATTTTAATGTGCAAGGAAATATATTATTCTTCAAGACACTGAAGTTTTCCACATCAAAGTGAGATACTTGTCACTACTCGGGGATGCAGACACAGTTGTATAATGTCTTGTCTGCATTTGGAGGCACTCTCCATAGTCTGGAAAAACACCCTAATGTCATCAGTGTTACTAGTTTGGGCTTGAAGACAATATATTTATGCTATATCTAGTGAAAAAACAAAAACAATAATAGCATACAAGCATGTAGAAGGATTCAAAGGCCGTGAAGGTAATAATAAAATGTTTTATTTGATTTTAGAATGTAAAATATAAAAGACAGCTGAACCAAAATATAAAATCCAGACTTTCTTAAGCTACTGTATTTAAAAAACAAAACGAATTACATTATTGTGATGGTAAATATTATCTTTATAATTATTATTATTATTATCATGTAGATGTAAGTGTGTAATACATCAACAAAACTCAATAAATAGCACCAATGTACAATGATAATATTTGATTAACGAAGAATATAGACACCAGGCTGCATCATACCTTATAAAGATATGTAGAGTTTATTCATGGATAACCCCTTGAGGTGAAGCATCTCGTTTTAAAGGGGGTCCATCTGTTTCATTTTTTTCACAAACTGGCCCTGTTGCAGTCATGTGGAGAACTTTTTTTTTTTCAATGCTAAAAATATTGTGAATGATCTCCTGAACTAATTTTGAGTGAAGAAATTGGCAAGATTGTAAAATGATCAGATGTTTTCCAATCATTCTGAAATCTATTCCCGCAAATAGGACTCTGTTTGGATGAAGGGTTGCTGATGAGTCGGTGTGTTCACACTTGTATATGACACCTTAAAGAGGACATGGGCTGCCTGCCAAATTCCCAGGAGCCAGCAACGAAACTCTCTCTCTTTGAGACAAATTATAGAGGCGCAGGGTTTTAAAGTTGGATGCTCAGAAAGTCCCTGTAGGATTCTTCCATCAATGGCCCTGTCACCCCCTCTCTCAACTCTCCGTCCCTCCTCTCCTCACCCCTTCTCTCCCCTCTCCCCTCCTCTGATGAGCACCCTGGGAACTCAGAGGCTGTGACAAGGGGTCTGACGCTTTCATGTGAGAGGAAGCTAAGGAATGAGTGTCACAGCCTCCAGGGAACCCAGCTAGAGTGGCAACAAAATAATGGAAGGAGATATTAGAGACATGGACATACAGTACACAAACACACACACACACACACACACACACACACACACACACACACACCTACACACACTTAGGCTTCTTCACATTTCTATAATATACACCAGCCACTGCTACTATTTTCTAGAGCAATTTTGCATCCTCTGGGGTTGAGATTAAGGTGGGCTAATGAAAGCTCATATGTGAAATTTATTTGATGAGCTGCTGAAAGTACTTTCACTTCTCTGCTGCCAAAATTTTATGTGTGCATTATGTCCAGGATGAATAGGAGCCAGGCTGTTTTTGATTACATTCATCTGTCAGCACGTTTCTTCATATAGGAAATATAAGATCAAATCTGTGAAGCCCCATCTGTTAGCAGAAAGGTATAAGCTTTTTTTTTTTTTTGTCGTTAAAAAGAGTGTCTGGTGATGAGGTTATAGCAGATTTCACTCCGTGGATCTTGGACAGATTCTACTGATAAAGAAGGAGATAATAGTCAAGTATATTAAAACCGCTCATCAAACAGCCATTCAAAGTGTACGACTCACAACTCCTCAGGCTCAAGGGGCCTGTTTCATTGACTGATTACAATTGACTTGCTTTTTATAACAAATATAGAAGCTGTATTTTGTCATTTTACCAGGTTTGTGACTTGATCATGCCTCTATTATGCCTCCTCAGAGCTACTTCACTAAACAAAAGCATCTAATTTATCATCTGATTTGTGTGTGCAGGGGAATGCAAGTATGACTTCCAGGCTTGGGGGGAGTGCGATCTGGCGACGGGCAAGAAGAACAGGACGGGCACGCTGAAGCGAGCGCTCATGGATGCGACCTGCGCAGCCACTGTCACAGCCACCAAGCCCTGTGGGAAAATCCCCAAGACCAAGCTGCAAGGTAAGCTGAAAAGGAATAAATCATCTCTACATAAAATGCAGCCCTCGCTGGACATGTTGAGCTTTTCAGCAACAGTGGGGCACACTTATGTCCCGTTGATAAATCACCACATTGTAAAAGAATATGGCATGAGGTGAAGATTCAGAAACATACGCAAAACATGAATTAATTTTAATGTTGGCACTTAACCATTCAGGGCTTTCTTCATCCGACTGTTAAACAGCATTGGCCAAGATACTTTTTACAAAAATGCAAGTACTTATTATATAGTACTCACTGGAAAAGTAATTATACTATCAATTAATAAAATCGTAATTTTACTAATTACTCAACAGCAAAGTAGTTAGATACTTGTTGCTTTACTTCTGTTGGTCAACTCAGCTTAATCAAAGGTGCCTTTAAACAACTTAAAAAGCTCTACACCCATATTCTGCATAGTCTGTATTTAACTTAGCAAAACTAGAAAATGAGAAATAAGGTTTAACTAGTAGCCCGCCTATGTTTGGGAGATATTTACTGACCATCAACTGCTAGCAAGTTAGCAAGGGTGGAGAAACAGCAGAATTTACACACCCTCCAACTATGAACTACTGTAAACCAGGTGATTGCTAATCTCCATTAAAGCTATTGTCAGATGAGGATTTAGCTTATTGTCAGTCACGGAATGCTAGATCTTTGCTTTTTAAAAATGTATCTGCATTCAAGTCAGACGATAGCCACTGGGTTCTGAGATTGCTAAATGATCTGCAAACAATGACCGGTGGCATAACGTGATGGATAACTTTGAAGTTATTAATATGTTAATATTAATATAAATATAAAATATAATATTAATAATGTGCAACAACTTGATTCCTTCAAGAATTTGTGGTGTACCAACACATCACTGACTTTTTTTTTTTACAATTAAACTTATTGAAGAAGGTTCTATTCTGAAATATTTGTATTTTGAATAAAACTTTTCACCCAGTCCACCCAAATTCACCCAAGACAAACCAAGTCTTTTTACCAGACTTTTTGATGGACTTGATATAATGATAACATAGACAGATTTGTTGATCCTAAAACCTTGCATGCACTACCCTTTTGAACTAGTTTAAAAGTGGGAGTGGAGTGTTATATACTCTAGAGAAATCATGTCAAGGTCAGTTTGGATGACTGACAAAACAAACTTCTGAGAAGAACAGTTTCAGTATTTTCTTGCACTGTCAAATCATTGTAAACAGTTTTAGGGAATGTTAGATTAGTTGGTTGTTTAATTAATCATAGCTGAAGGGATGTTTATCATTTGGGTGTCTCTGTTTCTTCGGCTGATTTTCCTCCTGACAGGCTCGTATATTTTGAGCCTTTTTGAATGTTTGGTGTGTTTTAGCTATAACTCACAGTTCTCTGAAAAATCTGAAATGAAAATACCTGAATTTAATTTTAATTGTGGTGAATTAGCATCAGTACATGTATAAAGGTATATTTCAAAGATAACTTTCTTTATCCACTCACAATTATTGTGTTCAATAGATAATAGTAGAAAAAGTTCAATAGCTATTTATCTTGTCTCCTGGTATGTCTCAAATTGATTGTATCTTTGCTAAATCCAACAAACCCTTGGAAATTATTTAAATCTCAGGCAATGAGATTTACATTTGTATTCAATCCACCACCAGCATGATGGAAATCCACCTACTTAAGTGCTAAGTTGACGTGGTGAGTGACAGTGTTAAAGCAGGGGTGAATAGGTTAACTCACTATTCAAATGTAATTACATGCTTTTAGCTTTATTCAATCATGTCAATGAAACTGTAGTCAGGGAACTTTGTTGCTCCAACTTCCCACATTTTACGGGAAATAGGCAGGTATCGGAAAACTTGAGCTGACTCAAGATTTGAACTAAGGGAGAATATTTAATAACCATGTGGACACATGTAGAATATTTTATTGTCTGCTTCAAATGATTGGAATAAAACTGGTGATAAGAAAGCACTCGATTCATTCCAAGTGAGTCAATGCCCTTTGTTAATCATGTAAACAGGGATGTAACTGACCCAGTGTGAATGCCCCATTGTCCAAACAGGATTATAATGAGTGCAGAATTGCTGCCAGTGGTCATAAACTGCGCCCTTATCACGCTCAGCAGATGACATGCACACAAGGTTTGCACATGGAGTTTGCTTAACCTTACTGTCACTTCGTCAAACAGCCACAGTCAGGTGAAGCCCCAAATTACAATGATAAGACAATGTGAGCACTCTGCGACATATTTATATACTACAGGATGTCTGCAGCGGCAGTGCTGCCAACTGTAACACATCTGTCTGCTCTGATGTTTGTCTTAAGATTTTATGCCAAACTGTATTTGACTTTCAAAGGAGGAATCTGTTAAATTTTTCACTGAGTAGCACATCATTAATGCATTGTGACAGGAAGTTCCTTGAGGAGCTGTACTGTACTTGCCATCTGTGATTCCACAAAATATATAGTACACGAGGCCACTGTTAAAACATGTGTGTGGGTGAATGAGTGTCATTCACTTTATGTGACAAATAGTTATATGTGCTGTAACGTGAGACTGTACTCCCAAGAAACATTATGTAATCTGTCGTTTTAGCAAATGCCCAATAATGACATATGTTTATGTTAAAGTGACAAAGACCTCTAGCAGCCACAATAACCACTCTTCAGCCAAGGGAACTACATTACAAAATTATTATTTCCCTGTTAAAACTGGAGGACTTGTTGTGTAATGTCCATCTATCAATTTGTCAATCCATTTTCTACATTGATTTATGTTGTCCAGAGCATAGACTGTATAAAAGAAGTGTGTGTGCCCACCGTGACGAGTTCCATTGGTTTGTGGACAACCGTTTTGAAGCATCGAGTTTGGCGAGTCTTGGTTTTTTAGAACCAGAAGTAACCATATTTGGATGCAGGGGTGGAACTGGGGAGCGATAGGCATTGCTACACCTGACAGGTCGTGAAGAAGAAGACTTGAAACTAGGAAGTGAGACCAATAACCCATTAGGAAAGCATTTACTGAGGTAATAAATTAAATACAAAAGGAGGGTCATTTTGTCATATTATCATTGACCTCTGTACTTCTTTTTGCAACCAGTGCAATCAAATTTAATTTTTAACATGAAGTTTAAAACTGTAAATGCATATATTCACATGTATTGGATGAGCATGTGTGCATGCAAGTGAAGATGTGTTTGGTTTGCAGCCATGTGTGCAGCACTGTGCACCTGTGCGCATCAATTCTAATGAAGGCCAGATGCGTATACGCTGAGTGACAGCCTAAGAGGTGTGAGAGCTGAGAGCAACAGAGAAGCAGAGGGAGGATGACAGTGGTCGAGATGAAGGGAGGAAGTTGGGAAGAGAAACTTGCTTTCTGAGCGATGTGATTGCGTGATTTCCCATGTCTGCCAGTTGGAAGATAAGCCCTGGGAAGCAGAGGGGTTGCTGGGAAAGAGAAAGAGAGGATGGTGTGCACAATGAGGTGTGTACGGGAAGAGAAATTGTGTATGCTTTTCTATGTGTGTCAGGGGATGGCAGAGATACAGTCCACAGCAGCGGGATCAGAGGGCTTATGAAAAAAACAGAAATGTTTGGCTTCAGAGTCACTGAGATGGAGAGAGGAGAGGCTATCTAACCCCCGGATGGGAGCAGAGATCTGCCCAGCCGAATCTGGAATTCTGAACAGCCACCTTGGGTTTTGGAGATAGGTTTTCCCTGACCGCTGCCGGTTACTGTGATGGAGGTAGCATCTGTCATTTGCAGATTTTGGAGGAAACAATGCTAAGAGGCGCCTTGGGAGCGATCTGAGATTCAGAGTTGCGTGTCTTTGCTGTCTAACCCAGGTGAAACACAGACCCTGCGGAGCGAAAGAGAGAACAAAGAGTGACAGATATGAAACATTATGAATGCCTGTAGAAACCTCAAGGTCCCCGCCTTCTCTTTCAGCAGAACAGGAGTGCGTAGCATGTGAGGGAGTGTTTGGATGCCAGAGTTGATTTTAGGTTAAACAAAAGGCTTTGTAGAAATATTTCTGGCATCTCTGAATTTGTTTAGAGGGATTTTTTTTGCATTAGTCTTTCTGGACAGACAGGTGTTGATGTTAAGTCAGAGCCACACAGAGCATTATTATTACACTCACAATATTTATGCCCAGCAGAGAGGTGTAACTGCAGAAACTGTGACATTAAAAAAAGGTTGAAGTTTGTAGAATGGCCATCAAAACTGTGTAGCAGGTGCCTAATAACCTGTAATTTTATGCCTTTTTAGGCTTTCGATTTGTCTGTGATGATGACCTCCTTGAATTTGTCCAAAGGCAGACTGTATCTTACATTACCCTATCTTATGGCAAAGTGCAAGGAAAATGCAGTACTGTCTTGTCCATTTTTAACTAAATTGTCAGTATGATATATTCATCTATAATGAAAATGAACACATTTCTTGCATTAGCTGTGTAAGTGGCTATCTCCCTGTGACATCTACACTGTAGCTATTACAGTTTGATTCATATTCAAAAAGGCTGTGGTTATCTCTAGCCTCAACTATTGCAATTGCCCTCCTAGCGGGTCTTCCAGCTGGTGTGGTGAAACCACTAAAAATGGATCAGAACACATGTCACTGTCAACTGCCAATGGCCTCCCGAATCAAATTCAAGTCACTAATGCTTGCATACAGAGTGATTACTGGGTCTGTACCTATTTACCTAAACTCCATAGTACAAGCTTACATTCCTTCTCGGCCACTGCCCTTCTCAAACAATGCTGCCTGGCTCTGCCATCCCTACACGCCAAGTCAGTCCCGTCTGTTCTCATCTGTGACACCACGATGGTAGAACAAGTTACCATACAATCAGAGCAGAGGTGTCCCTCTCTAACTTCCAGAAGCTCCTGAAAACTCATCTCTTCCAAGAACACTTCCTCTTTTAACATCTCTAACACCTAATCTCTAACATGCTCTTCTCCTTTTTATCTCCTTACAATTTTCTTGTATTGATT